TGTTCGTTTTATTTTACAATCTAACATCATAGGTGATTCGCCTTGTTCATTTTCCGACTCAAATGTGAATTGTATTCCCTTCACTAGTGACTTCATATGCGTAAAGAACCTGGAGATATGTTCTGATTTTAACCCTGTGGAATTGTCAGTTATCCCCATACCTCCTCCATATTTTTGGAATAGGATTAAATGTTTTAAGAACAATATTTTCCCAACTGTTCTATAAGATATCTGCTACGATAGGGGATATCGGTGATCCTTCACATTGCTACACCTTCTGTTTGTCTACATATTTTGCCTTGGAATTTAAAGATAGTAGATTTGAGACAGTATAACTGAATTCCTAAAATAATTTCTTCATTGGGCAGCTTCGTCCTATAGGTGAGTTCAGGGTCTGCAGTTAGTTCCTTTTTAACTGCTTCCAAGGCCGCCATAATGATTGGTATTTTGTTAGTATAAAGACTAGTTATATCAAAACTAACCATTGTTTCATCATTATCTAGTTGAATGTCATTTAGTTTCTTTTTCATCTCATATGAATCAGTCAGCTGGCCTAGAGTTTGAACGATTTCTAATGGGGCATAATATTAGAGCTAAATGTTTTGATAATTCATAAGTAGGGTTATTTCTCAAATCTACTATTGGTCGTATAGCACTGATATTTTTTCTTATATTCCGACTTTTGACAAAATCTCGATGTTCACAGTTTCATCTTCCATGGAAGCGGTCATGGATGCATGCCAATGAAGAGTTCCAAGCTAGGATGAAACAGCTGACGTTCCAGTAGTTACTGTTGGTTTTCAGTAGTTCTCGAACTGATATCACTTAGTGTGATCAGTCCCTGAAGTCTGTCTACACTGTTCACTGGTGACACTGACTACAGATTGAAATTTTATTCCATGAAGTTATATACGAGGACAAATACTCACCGACGACACTAACTGGCAGTTGTGCAATGAGAATATCGGCAGAAGTAAGATTTCATGGACTGGCTACTGGTCAGTATGCTTGCCCAGTAGACTGAATATCCTCGGTTGGATCCCTGATATTGACTCCCAAATAACAACGAAACAGTTATTCAGAAATTTCGTCAGGCTAATCCCGTCTACCAGTCTGAATAATGGAAAGAACGAAATTATTTGCAGCATAGATAATACGAACTCGTTCGATTTCATCGATTCTCCTCAACTGCGTACACCCTAAAAAAATCAATTTAACGTCACGTCTGAGCATACTTCCTTTTACAATCATTTCAAGTAATGGATAGAAAGTATAAGCAACATAATTTCAAAGATGGTATTAGTATACAGTTATTTAGTGTTAAGAGAGTAACTATTTATAAAGTTATGAAAAACACACGTACAGAACGGAGACGATTTTCTTTTCGACGATTCATTTTCGTAAGCTGTACAATCGTAATTATATTTGCTTGGAGGATTTCATCATTAGCTGACATCAGTGAGGGAACCACTGGAAAACTAGCCGGGATGACCAGAAAGCTGTTTCGTCCTAGTTTGAGACTCTTCAATAGTACATATCCTCGATTTGAACCGAGGACCTTCTGTTTACAAGGCGAGCAAGTTCGTAGGTCATTTAGCCACTGGGACCCACCCCAATAGCTCGGAAATTCTAACATCTGCCAAACCGAAGACCAATCAAATACTGGTAAAATGTGTCCTTGAAAAACGCATGACGTAATGTGCAAGGTGCAACCTAGACGGAGTAACTAATTGGAAGTTAGAAAAGAGGCAGAACTTGGCATGACGTAATACATTTGAGTAAATGACTAATCAGTGTGACTGTGTAGAATGGACGGGAACTAGTGGAAAGACGAAAAAGTGTTTCTATATAAAATCTGTATGAAAATGCAACGTTAATAATAAGAAGTAATAGAGTGACAATAAAATATGGATGATGGGAATAATAATAATAACGAAATAATAATAATAAAGAACGAACATATTTATAGGAGAGATAATATGACCTCGTTTGATTTCGCCAATTCTCCTCAACTGCGTACATCCTAAACAAAATCAATTATATGTCACGAAATGGTGTCTGAACATACTTCCTTTTACAATGATTTCAAGTTATGAATAGAAAGTATGAGCAACATTATTTCAAAGATGATGTAAGTAGACAATTATTTAGTGTTAGAGGAGTACCTATTTATTACGATTTCTCTTGGGTGTAACTAATCTCTTGCTACCCTGGTAACCATAGTTGTTTTATTTATATGCTTTTGTGCTTTTTGTTCCGTTGCATAACATTCCACTCAGTGGTGATTTCGATTTTCACTTACTGACTGAATTGAACTCACTATTACCTTGTCCAAATCTACTTAATTGTTTTGTCTATTTTATAATTTTACTTCAGTATTCACACACAACCCCTCTCACCCTCCTGAACTCTCCACCATAATATGTATAAATTTACTGTCTTGTTCTATGTTGTATCTTGTCTGTAGTCCATCCTTGTTCCCAAGAGAAATCTCAATTCTACCACACTCCCCCCCCTCTTGTCTAATTACGCCGTACGCAGCGTAAAGTCCACAAACGTATTCTGGAATACTATCCAGCTCGCCTAGCTAGCCAGAGAAGAAAAGAAGAATGCTAGCAGCTCCATCCTCGAACACCTTGTCAACTCTGCACATCTAGCACCCCTGCATGAATGCTTCACAGTGCTACACAGTGTCCCTTAATATCGTACAAAGGGACTTCACATACGCTATCTGTACATAGCTGAGTCACTGGCTATTCGGGATCTGAAACCAGACCTCTGCATTCAAAAGCACTTCATACATTCACTCCTCCTACCGTGGCAACAGTAACGTTCTTACTATAACTTTGCTTCTTTTATTATAACAGTTTACTATTATTACTATTATTCTCCTTCTCTATTACTGTTCATTAATGACACTGCATTTTCATACAGATTTTATATATAAAAACACTTTATCGCCTTTCCACTAGTTCCTGTCTATTCTACACGAGCTTATTGATTAGACATTATCTCACACTAATTACGTCATGCCTACATCTTCTCTTTTTCTAACTTTCAATTAGTCATCCCTTCTAGACTTCCCCTTACATTATGTAATACATTTTTCGAGGACAAAGTTTACCAGTATCTGATTAGTATTATGATTTGGCAGAAGTTAGAATTCCTGGGCCATTGGATCAGGTCCTAGCGGCTAAATGGTCTGCAAGCTCGCTGGCCTTGTAACCAGAAGGTTCTGGGTTCGAACCCTTGTGGTGGGTGCGTACTGACGAAGAGTCCTGAACTAGTGGGGCAAAACAGATGGCTGTCCAGTACTCCCTGGCCGATTTTCCAGTGGTTTTCTAACTGATGTCAGCTCATCATGAGATCTTGCAACCAAATATAGTTACGATTGTACAGCTTAAGAAAAAGAATCGTCGAAAAGAAAATTGTCTCCGCTCTTTAATTGTTTTTCTTATTACTATATAAATAGTTACTCCTTCAACACTAAATAATTGTCTACTTACATCATCTCTGAAATTATGTTGCTTATACTTTCTATCTATCACCTGAAATCATTGTAAAAGGAAGTATGTTCAGACACCATTTTGTGACACATGATTGATTTTGTTTAGGGTGTATGCAGTTGATGAGGGCCAACGAGATAAAACGAGTTCATATTATCTCCCCTGCAAATATGTTCGTTCTTTGTTTATTCATAGTTACCTAGTACTCCCTTTTGGTTTTCAGCGGTTTTTCAGCTGACGTCAGTTCCTTATTATTATTATTATTATTACTGCTTTAATTATTACCTTTAATTTCCAGAGAAACATAGGGATTCAGCCACACGTCTCCATTGCGTTCGGTCTCTGCCGACGTTTTCACCTGGTTCCATGTCTGCTCTCATGCTTTCATCTCTTCTTCACATCACCTGCACCATGTCACCCCACCCTCGTACTCACAACCAACTCACCACTTCTCATTCAGCCGTGTTGCACTCGAGCGATTACCTGGAGTATGGTGTCACTTGATGGTTTGTTTTCTCAGCGTATGGCCAATCCACTTCTTCCTACATATTTGTTGCACAATTGGTTCCTGCTGAGTTGGCGTGCTCATTGCCAGCGATTTCTGTTTCTGATCTTTTCTGGTCGGCCGTCTGATCTTGAACGAAATATTCAGCGAAGATAGCTGTTGATGAAGGTCTCTAAAATTTGTTCGAAGTGGCCTTCGTGACGCGGCACAGTGTCAAGTTGTGCACGGCGTGTCTGATGCATGAGATTAATATCTGAATGGATATATAAAAAGGTTTTTGAAGAATACAACAAATTTTCTAGCGTTGGTTTGTAGAGATTTCAGTAACTTTACCTACCTTTCGATAACCTCCTTTACCACCTACCTAGGAAGCGTCGTTTCAACTATAGGCGGACGGAACTGATGAGAATATCAAAGCAGCGAGGATCGAGAAAGCAAGGTAAGCAAACTTTCTTTACTCTCAAGTTTGTGTGGAGATCAACAGCACCACTCAGTATGAAAATGAAAATAAGATAAGGATTCTCACCTTCAATGGGAAGCCAGTGCTACTGACTATACGGATCAGAGACTTGGCACTGCGCCGCATCACGCAGGCCACTTCGAGCAAACTACAGACCTTTATCAACAGCTGTCTTCACTCAACACCACTCAAGATCAGATGGCTGGCGAGAAAAGATCAGCAAAAGGGAGGGATTTCTGGCAATGAACGAATCAACCGACCAACCCAGCAGGAACCAATCATGCAAGAAATGTGCAGGAAGAAATGGAGGTGGATTGCTCATACTCTGAGAAAACAAACCGTCAATTGAGTGACATCACACACCAAGTAATCTGTGATTGTTATTTGTACTAGTAGTATTTGTATTTCGCAATGACCGAATTACAGGAACTCAACCAAAACACAGAGAGGGATGAATTCAGGAATTTGTATTTGGCGGAATTATATTTCAAATCAAAATAATAAATATATTAACAAACAACAGTAAGTATTTAAACAATACAAAGATAGAAATTGTCAATCACCACATCCGCCACATGTCGAATGTCTCCTTGCGTATTTATAATGAGGTCTCGGTTTGCTTGCAAGTCTCTGGGATCTTCTAACTGATTCTGTGATATTATTTTCATCAGTATCATCTGGACTTATTTCTGAATTATCTACAATATCAGGATTAGTAGCGGAATCATTAAAATTATAATCGGAACGACCTACTTCGTTTATTCTCACTTGATCCAGGTGTCTGTTATGAATTGAATGATCTTCGATGTCTAATATTTTCACCATTCGATTTCCCATTTTTTGTAGTATGATTCCAACAGAAGGTCTATAGTCATTCCCTCTGTAATAATGTACATCAGAAGTCGTAGACATTAGGTGCTTTCTGAGAATTCGAGATTTGAACAGTTTAGCAGGACTTTCATGGGTACTTGTATGCTCCGCATTGCGATATTGAAGTAGGAAGTTATCTACACATCTCTCTAGCTCATCAAAATTCTTAGGACTCATTGATGCTATGGCACTCTTTAATGTTCGTACGAAATTTTCTGCCAAACCGTTTGACTGAGGATGACGTGGTGCTGTGTACAGATGACGGCAACCTATGTGTTTAAGCCAATCATTGAAGTTCTTCTCAGTGAAATGAGTACCATTATCAGTAACTAAGACATCTGGAATTCCTTCTCGACTAAAAATCTTTCTCAACGCTCTGTGAGTGAATTTCGCATTAGGACTATCTGTAATTATAACTTCTGGCCATCTAGAATAAGAATCCACAATAATTAAAGCATAGTATGAATTTAAGAATGGACCACAGTAATCTGCATGAATACGCTGCCAAACCTCACAAGACGTAGGCCACGGTTTCCACGACGACTTCCCATAGGACATTTTATGCAAACAGCTGGAACAGCTCTTCGATCTTTTGTTAATGTCAGCATCAATTTCCGGCCACCAACATGTTAGACGTGCTAATGATTTCATCTTATCAGCTCCCAGATGCGCAGAATGAAGATCATCCAAAATCGCAGATCTTAATGTCGGAGGAATAATAATTCTGTCATTCAGACATAGAAATCCTTCAGGATGGACTGAAATCTCATCTCTTCGCTTATAAAAGTCCGGAAATCTTCGCTTACACTGAATATTCCAACCTCTTTTTGTTGCATTTATAATGCACCCGTAATATTTCCGAGTATCGTTTATAAGTCGAACTCTATCCACAGGTAACGGCTGGACTAACAAACAATCAGTGTCATTAGCAGAATTTTCAAATAATGAATAACGAGATAAAAAGTCTGCATGAGGTATATCCTTAGCCGATCTGTGTTCAATAGTGTAATCATATGCACTTAGTTCTAAACTCCATCTTTGAACCATAGCAGCAGATGATCTATTCAAAGATTTTTCTGGGTTGTAAATGAATTTCAAAGCCTGATGATCAGTAACTATGTGAAACTTAGTACCAAAGAGATACTTGTGCAAGCGTCTTATTGCCCATACAACTGCTAGAGCCTCTTTCTGGGTTTGTGAGTACCCTTGTTCACTCTTACTTAGACGTCTTGAAATACAAATAACAGGTTGTCCATTTTGCTCAAGTACTGCAGCTATACCCGTAGGAGAAGCATCTGTAGTGAGAACGGACTTATCTTTCGATGAAAAAGGTCTTAAGAAAGCTTGTTTATTAAGAAACTCCAAAGTTTTTCGCAAGATATCTTCATGTTGTTGTTCCCACTTAAATTGTTTACTGGAGACAATATTAAAAAGTGGAGATAACAGTTGAGTGAAATTGGGAATGAATCTGGAGTAAAATTGAAGAGTGCCAATCCATGATCTCAACGACGTCATATTATTAGGTGACGGTGCTTGAATTAGAGGTGCCAAACGCCTAGCATCAGGTCTGAAACCCTCAGAGTCTACTGTATATCCCAAGCATGATACAGACGACAAAGTAAAATGACATTTAGATGGATTAACAAGAACATTTTTCTCACAGAAGCGCCTGAACAGTTTTAAAAGACGTTCATTATGCAATTCGATGTTCGGACCATGAACTATAATGTCGTCTTGGTAAGACTCAACACCATCTAATCCGTCTATCATCTGATTTATTACTTTTTGAAATATTGCAGGAGAAACCTTTAAACCAAAAGGCAAGAACTTATACTTGAACAATCCAAATGGAGTATTAATGGTTGTTAATGCACTAGAAGCTTCGTCAAGAGGAATTTGCAAATAAGCATCTTTTAGATCTATTTTGGAAAAGTATTTTGAGCCATGTAGCTTGTAGAGAATATCTTCGCTTTCTAGCGTAGTGCAACTTTGCTGTAGAAGACGACTATTGAGTGTAAGACGATAGTCACCACAAATTCTCGGTGTTTTTCCGTCAGCCTTTAGTGGTGTGACAATGGGAGTAGCCCAATTCGAAGATTCAACTGGCATAAGTATGCCCTGCTCAACCAACTTGTCCAACTCTTTCTTAACTGCATCTCGCAAACCATATGGAATTAATCGGCGCTTTAGGAAGATAGGATCACCCTCTATTTCAAGATGGATGGGCTGAATCTTCATGCCACCTACACACTTTGAACATTGAAAAACTAATTCTCTGAACAAAGATTCATCAAACAACTCAGTACAAAGTGAGATTTCAACATTTAACAATCTAAGGGCTTTCAATCCCAATAAAGATGGACCATATTCACTAACAAGAAAGGGGATATTCACAAAATTACCACTGTCTGACTTCAAACAAATGTTAGTTGCACCAATAAGAGGTAGTTTATGACCAGTTATGCCTGTAATTGAACTAGTAGTAGGGTCTACCTGAGCATGCTTACAAAGCGATAGTAAATCTTTCTTAGAAATTATAGATTCAGTACTCCCAGTATCAATTATAAAACAGTGAGACTTGCCTGAACTTGTAGTGAAGTTTCTCACTAGATGAGATTGAGTATTGTGAAAAGTTGAAAGAGACATTGACTTCATTTTATCAGACAGTTTGGGAGAATCATGAGTAGCATAATTATTTGAACTTCTGCAGACAGACTTGATGTGCCCAATTTTACCACATTTATGGCACTTAGCACTCCGAAAACGACAAGTGCTTCGTAGATGAAGTTTTCCACATGAAAAACACGGTTTGATGTTCTTGCTTTCTGTATGCATTCTATTACATGTGGACGGCAGTTTGGATTTCTTTCTATGAACACTTTTATTATCAACTTTGGACAGCATGACATCAGACTCTGACGTAGTGGCAGCTGGGTAGTCACTGTTGACATCTTCATACGTAATACATAAATCCTTGGCAGTTTGAAAGGTGCAGGAAGGTATCTGAACCAACTCTTTCTCTAACTTAGGAATATTGATTCCAGCAATTAGACGATCACGTAGTTGAGTATGGAGCTGATCTCCAAAGTTGCATTTTGAAGCTTGTATCTGAAGTTGAAGAATAAAGTCTCTAATCTTCTGGTTGGGAGCACGAACAAGTTTGTTGAACTGAGCCCTCTCTCGTGTTTCGAAAGTTGTTATGTGGAAGTGATTTGTTAAAAGTTCACGGAGTTTATCATAAGACAGAGAAATTGGTTTATCTGGAAATGACAGAGTTTTCAGTAGGCTGTACGCATCTAGCCCAATAGCAGTAATAAAATGAGCTGGAATTTTGTCATCGCGAACATTCTTCGACATGCACCATGCGTCGAAACATTCAAGATAATCGGAGATTTCCCGCGGTGAACCATTTATAGGAAACTTTCCAAGATTATTTAATTCCATTGCGACGCCAAAATGTGATAGTTATTTGTACTAGTAGTATTTGTATTTCGCAATGACCGAATTACAGGAACTCAACCAAAACACAGAGAGGGATGAATTCAGGAATTTGTATTTGGCGGAATTATATTTCAAATCAAAATAATAAATATATTAACAAACAACAGTAAGTATTTAAACAATACAAAGATAGAAATTGTCAATCACCACATCCGCCACATGTCGAATGTCTCCTTGCGTATTTATAATGAGGTCTCGGTTTGCTTGCAAGTCTCTGGGATCTTCTAACTGATTCTGTGATATTATTTTCATCAGTATCATCTGGACTTATTTCTGAATTATCTACAAAATCAGGATTAGTAGCGGAATCATTAAAATTATAATCGGAACGACCTACTTCATTTATTCTCACTTGATCCAGGTGTCTGTTATGAATTGAATGATCTTCGATGTCTAATATTTTCACCATTCGATTTCCCATTTTTTGTAGTATGATTCCAACAGAAGGTCTATAGTCATTCCCTCTGTAATAATGTACATCAGAAGTCGTAGACATTAGGTGCTTTCTGAGAATTCGAGATTTGAACAGTTTAGCAGGACTTTCATGGGTACTTGTATGCTCCGCATTGCGATATTGAAGTAGGAAGTTATCTACACATCTCTCTAGCTCATCAAAATTCTTAGGACTCATTGATGCTATGGCACTCTTTAATGTTCGTACGAAATTTTCTGCCAAACCGTTTGACTGAGGATGACGTGGTGCTGTGTACAGATGACGGCAACCTATGTGTTTAAGCCAATCATTGAAGTTCTTCTCAGTGAAATGAGTACCATTATCAGTAACTAAGACATCTGGAATTCCTTCTCGACTAAAAATCTTTCTCAACGCTCTGTGAGTGAATTTCGCATTAGGACTATCTGTAATTATAACTTCTGGCCATCTAGAATAAGAATCCACAATAATTAAAGCATAGTATGAATTTAAGAATGGACCACAGTAATCTGCATGAATACGCTGCCAAACCTCACAAGACGTAGGCCACGGTTTCCACGACGACTTCCCATAGGACATTTTATGCAAACAGCTGGAACAGCTCTTCGATCTTTTGTTAATGTCAGCATCAATTTCCGGCCACCAACATGTTAGACGTGCTAATGATTTCATCTTATCAGCTCCCAGATGCGCAGAATGAAGATCATCCAAAATCGCAGATCTTAATGTCGGAGGAATAATAATTCTGTCATTCAGACATAGAAATCCTTCAGGATGGACTGAAATCTCATCTCTTCGCTTATAAAAGTCCGGAAATCTTCGCTTACACTGAATATTCCAACCTCTTTTTGTTGCATTTATAATGCACCCGTAATATTTCCGAGTATCGTTTATAAGTCGAACTCTATCCACAGGTAACGGCTGGACTAACAAACAATCAGTGTCATTAGCAGAATTTTCAAATAATGAATAACGAGATAAAAAGTCTGCATGAGGTATATCCTTAGCCGATCTGTGTTCAATAGTGTAATCATATGCACTTAGTTCTAAACTCCATCTTTGAACCATAGCAGCAGATGATCTATTCAAAGATTTTTCTGGGTTGTAAATGAATTTCAAAGCCTGATGATCAGTAACTATGTGAAACTTAGTACCAAAGAGATACTTGTGCAAGCGTCTTATTGCCCATACAACTGCTAGAGCCTCTTTCTGGGTTTGTGAGTACCCTTGTTCACTCTTACTTAGACGTCTTGAAATACAAATAACAGGTTGTCCATTTTGCTCAAGTACTGCAGCTATACCCGTAGGAGAAGCATCTGTAGTGAGAACGGACTTATCTTTCGATGAAAAAGGTCTTAAGAAAGCTTGTTTATTAAGAAACTCCAAAGTTTTTCGCAAGATATCTTCATGTTGTTGTTCCCACTTAAATTGTTTACTGGAGACAATATTAAAAAGTGGAGATAACAGTTGAGTGAAATTGGGAATGAATCTGGAGTAAAATTGAAGAGTGCCAATCCATGATCTCAACGACGTCATATTATTAGGTGACGGTGCTTGAATTAGAGGTGCCAAACGCCTAGCATCAGGTCTGAAACCCTCAGAGTCTACTGTATATCCCAAGCATGATACAGACGACAAAGTAAAATGACATTTAGATGGATTAACAAGAACATTTTTCTCACAGAAACGCCTGAACAGTTTTAAAAGACGTTCATTATGCAATTCGATGTTCGGACCATGAACTATAATGTCGTCTTGGTAAGACTCAACACCATCTAATCCGTCTATCATCTGATTTATTACTTTTTGAAATATTGCAGGAGAAACCTTTAAACCAAAAGGCAAGAACTTATACTTGAACAATCCAAATGGAGTATTAATGGTTGTTAATGCACTAGAAGCTTCGTCAAGAGGAATTTGCAAATAAGCATCTTTTAGATCTATTTTGGAAAAGTATTTTGAGCCATGTAGCTTGTAGAGAATATCTTCGCTTTCTAGCGTAGTGCAACTTTGCTGTAGAAGACGACTATTGAGTGTAAGACGATAGTCACCACAAATTCTCGGTGTTTTTCCGTCAGCCTTTAGTGGTGTGACAATGGGAGTAGCCCAATTCGAAGATTCAACTGGCATAAGTATGCCCTGCTCAACCAACTTGTCCAACTCTTTCTTAACTGCATCTCGCAAACCATATGGAATTAATCGGCGCTTTAGGAAGATAGGATCACCCTCTATTTCAAGATGGATGGGCTGAATCTTCATGCCACCTACACACTTTGAACATTGAAAAACTAATTCTCTGAACAAAGATTCATCAAACAACTCAGTACAAAGTGAGATTTCAACATTTAACAATCTAAGGGCTTTCAATCCCAATAAAGATGGACCATATTCACTAACAAGAAAGGGGATATTCACAAAATTACCACTGTCTGACTTCAAACAAATGTTAGTTGCACCAATAAGAGGTAGTTTATGACCAGTTATGCCTGTAATTGAACTAGTAGTAGGGTCTACCTGAGCATGCTTACAAAGCGATAGTAAATCTTTCTTAGAAATTATAGATTCAGTACTCCCAGTATCAATTATAAAACAGTGAGACTTGCCTGAACTTGTAGTGAAGTTTCTCACTAGATGAGATTGAGTATTGTGAAAAGTTGAAAGAGACATTGACTTCATTTTATCAGACAGTTTGGGAGAATCATGAGTAGCGTAACTATTTGAACTTCTGCAGACAGACTTGATGTGCCCAATTTTACCACATTTATGGCACTTAGCACTCCGAAAACGACAAGTGCTTCGTAGATGAAGTTTTCCACATGAAAAACACGGTTTGATGTTCTTGCTTTCTGTATGCATTCTATTACATGTGGACGGCAGTTTGGATTTCTTTCTATGAACACTTTTATTATCAACTTTGGACAGCATGACATCAGACTCTGACGTAGTGGCAGCTGGGTAGTCACTGTTGACATCTTCATACGTAATACATAAATCCTTGGCAGTTTGAAAGGTGCAGGAAGGTATCTGAACCAACTCTTTCTCTAACTTAGGAATATTGATTCCAGCAATTAGACGATCACGTAGTTGAGTATGGAGCTGATCTCCAAAGTTGCATTTTGAAGCTTGTATCTGAAGTTGAAGAATAAAGTCTCTAATCTTCTGGTTGGGAGCACGAACAAGTTTGTTGAACTGAGCCCTCTCTCGTGTTTCGAAAGTTGTTATGTGGAAGTGATTTGTTAAAAGTTCACGGAGTTTATCATAAGACAGAGAAATTGGTTTATCTGGAAATGACAGAGTTTTCAGTAGGCTGTACGCATCTAGCCCAATAGCAGTAATAAAATGAGCTGGAATTTTGTCATCGCGAACATTCTTCGACATGCACCATGCGTCGAAACATTCAAGATAATCGAAGATTTCCCGCGGTGAACCATTTATAGGAAACTTTCCAAGATTATTTAATTCCATTGCGACGCCAAAATGTGATAGTTATTTGTACTAGTAGTATTGTATTTCGCAATGACCGAATTACAGGAACTCAACCAAAACACAGAGAGGGATGAATTCAGGAATTTGTATTTGGCGGAATTATATTTCAAATCAAAATAATAAATATATTAACAAACAACAGTAAGTATTTAAACAATACAAAGATAGAAATAGTCAATCACCACATAATCGCTCGAGGGGGAGCTGAATGGGAAGCAGCGAGTTGGTCATCAGTGTGAGGGTGACTTGGAGGAGGTCATGTGAGGAGGAGATGATAAAAGCATGTGGGCAGACGTGCCAGGAGTCAGGTGAAAACGTTGTCAGAGAACTGAACACAAAGCAGACGTGATTCTGAAGCCCTATGTTCCTCTAGGAATTAAAGGAAACAATATAATAATAATAATGACTAAACAAACAGACGGAACAATACGTAGACGTTTGTATAGAAAACCTACTTCTACTGGATAATATACTCACTGCCTCAGCTTCTTATATCTACAGTAAAAACGTAATCTGGTTAGATGTCTGGTTCACAGGGCTAGAGTTATCTATTTAAATGAGACACTGAACGAAGAACTCAGTAATATTCGCGATCTACTGAGTAGAAACGGATATCCAACCAAATTTGTGAATAAACACGTGAAATCAGAAAGTAAAACGTCGAAGGTGCTGACTACTCCCCAAAAAATTAGTCTTCCTAAGATTAAAATGTAAAGGTGATGTCAATAGCGAGATCTTTTCACAACGTCTGCGAAGGGCCTTCAAAAAGACTTTCAACGCAGCTAAAGTATGCTGCATATTCACTAGCCAACCAAAACTTAGTTCAAGAAATAAAGACGGACTCCCCTGTTTCGTCTCTTCCATGTGTTTATACCAGTTTAACTGCCCATGCGAAGCTAGTTACATTGAGCGCACGATCAGGCAAGTTCATCGTCGAATTTCTCAACACCTTCTCCTATCTTGGTTTGGCAAATGTCCGAATAAACTACTATACGCGGCCGAATACTATCTCATCTCGTCTATACTGGACATCAAATCGACTCTAACAAAGCTTTTAAAGTTATTTGTCGTATACCACCCAACCTCTAGCATGATCTACGAGTACGACTTTTACATACAGCAGAGGAAATCGGAACTCATTTGAACAAGCCAAATCTGTGTGTTGGTTCAAAAGAAATTTGAACAGCCCCTTTCTTAGCCAATATTGTCCAACTACATAATATGTATTAAGTTTTTAAAAACGACACTTCCCCCCCCCCCTTGTAACTAACTATATTTTGATTTTGTTAATTTTTACAATTCTGGCCAATTCGAGTCAGCCTACTCTTCTTAGTTATCATTATTTACAAATTTCTTGATTATAAAATAACTTGTTTCTAACGCTTAAGAATCAACTTATCTTGAATTCCGTAATTAATTTGCACCCCTCGCTTCTTGAAAACTTAGATATCTTGTTACTAACATCTATTACTATTGGTGTTGTGATGACTTTTAACCTCTTAATTTCACACACCCCCTATACGTAAAACTGATTAACTGAAATAACCACTTGATTAGTAAAAAATTTTGATGTAAAAGACTACACATCAGTGTAGAGCCAGCGGATGATGAGGAACTAATTGAAAAGGAATGCATATTTCTTCTCACAATTTGTTGATTGTTTTTTTCTAAATGCGTAAATGGGAATTCGGAAATTACTGAAATTTGGATAGTAGTTTTGAAAATAAGATATTTTTACCAGAGGAATTTATTTTGCCCATCTCTTCGGAATTCTGATAATGCATATAGTCTTAAACGTTGTTCCATATTAGTTTGTTTATTTGATATATCACACAGTGAAACAGTATTACTTACTGGATGACACAGTTTCGAACAAAATTTATTTATTGTTCATAATCATATCAATTATAATCACACGACTTTGACACTTGAGTTTTATAGTTTTCTTTGTTCTCTCCTATTTGTCGTTTGGGTAGTAGAATTTTCCAGATATCGGGGACAGGTGATGAATCATTCCTATTACATGTATTTGTAGTTGATTCGATAAACAAAGCTTCTGTTGTCAATCTCTCCCTATACCCTGTGACATTAGACATCAGTAGTAATTCCATACAAGGAAGGAACCTTGGAAGCCTTACGCAGAATTCTTAACAAGGCAGGAATAAAAGTGGCACTCAAACCACCCACAAACTCAATTAGAAACAAGCTTTGTCGGCTAAAGGATTCTGTAGAGCCTTTAAAACAAAACAATTTAGCTTATCTAATACCCTGCTTGCAATGATTGTCAGGTCAAATACATAGGTCAAACTAGTAGAACAGGGGCAGTCAGACTAGCCGAACATAAAAACCTAGCAAAATCTCGATTGGTTGACCCGAATAAGATAGGAAATCTAGAGAATAGTTCATCTATAGCACTACATGCAGTTACACACAACCACACAATAGGATGGGATAGGATGACAGTTTTAAAATCTAATGTCACAGGGTATAGGGAGAGATTGATAACAAAAGCTTTGTTTATCGAATCAACTACAAATACATGTAATAGGAATGATTCATCACCTGTCCCCGATATCTGGAAAATTCTACTACCCAAACGACAAATAGGAGAGAACAAAGAAAACTATAAAACTCAAGTGTCAAAGTCGTGTGATTATAATTGATATGATTATGAACAATAAATAAATTTTGTTCGAAACTGTGTCATCCAGTAAATAATACTGTTTCACTGTGTGATATATCAAATAAACAAACTAATATGGAATTACTTACTACCACAGTGCCCAAGTTTTACACATATATTAATTAAATGTTGTTCCTTTCTATCTCAGATGAATCGAAGGTTTATGCCATTAGTTATATTCATTGTGAGTTGCTTCTAGGGAATGAATACTTAGAAAGTAAAGATTTGAAATTTGATTAGGTTAAAATTGTTATTAGACGAGAGAAGCTGAGTGACTGACCGGATTTAACGTAGAACTTTGCACCAATGTTCAGCAGTACGAGTCACCACAGTCCATGTAGCATACAAAGCAAGAGAAGAAAGTAAAAGGAAATGCAAACAGAGACAGTTAACAGAGATATGAAGCAAAAAGAACAGTAATATCGAAGAAGAACAATATAGTTTTATGGGATATTAAAAGTCACAATGATTGTATGCATCTGCACCATTCACAACAAGGATTCTGAGCCATATCACCAATTGTCTCCAGCTATTGTGAATCCTTCTAATTCTTGAGGCTAATGAATTGATGAGGTATTGACCGTCCCAAGTTAGTTTTGTGCAGGATTATGTTTAAAGGTAACCATCAGAACTCTTCATCAATAAAATGTCTAAAAACACCTACGAATTTCTCGGCTAACCTTGAATCCTCCATTTGAATCTGATTGAATATGTCATCATGTGTGATCGAGGTACCATCCATTGTGATTTTACACTTACAAAACGTCTCAATAGTCACTTGTATTAGACAAAAATTTAATATTACTATTACTGTTCCCTTAG